GGCCACACTCCTATCCGACTGCTAATGGGACGAGGTCCCATTAGCAGTCGGATAGGAGTGTGGCCGATCCAGTGTGACACTGAGTGGCAGTGGGCTGACAGGTTCATCACGAATTTCTGGGCTGAGAAAACAGGAGAAAGGCAAAAGAAAAAAAAAAAAAAAAACAGAGACCTCCCACCGAAAATGACGGCAGAGTGCTTCCCAACCATCAGATCACAAATGATCTGATGGTGGTGGTTGCATCAACAGTGAACAAAGTAACCGTCACATTTTTTGGAATAAACTCGACTTCTACCAGCAGTGATCCTGATGCAATGAGCCCAGATCGTGAAGACACTTGTCAACAATGCAAGCCCAGATGAATATCAAACTGCCGATGATTACCAATAATCATAATCGTGTCCAGATAGAATGAGATGGGAGAATCATATACAGACGAAGGAGAGAGGAGGGAGATTAGACAAAGAAGAGGAATAAGACAAATGGCCACTTCTTCTTCGGGCTCCCTTCTCGATCACCACCTCAAATTTTGAACGCATATCCGAAGTTCTACTACAATGTGCCACGTGGCACGTCAATAAGTCCTCATCAGCGCACTGGAGCAATGTCGACCTCAAGATGACCAGGTACGTATCCACAATTACCCCATAGTCATGATCTCCTCTTGAATGACGATGAATCAGAACAGCAGTGCAGGTCACGTAGTCCGGCCACATCAGCAGATAGAACACATGGCAGCGGCCACGTCAGCAGCAACACGTGGCAGCTGCCACGTCAGCATGCCTTGAAGACAATAGCCAGCCAGCCACCATGCCGAGCCAGCAGCGCGTCGTCGTGATCTCCCAAATGCCAGCACAAAGCCAGCGTCCTCCAGCGTCGCAGTGTCGAGCCAGCATCGCGTCGTCAACACGTGAAGTCAACATTGACGCAAGACTGAATGAATATCAAAGTCAGGAAGTCAACGCTTATGTAGCGTTGACGCGGGGTCTGGACCCCGGATTCTGCATCCCTCAGCTGTCCAGATCGCAATGCAAATGATGGCCCAGATTGGCCTGAAACTGAATTCCTTCTGGCCTCGATGTTGTCTGGGTACCTGCGCACAACAAGTGAGTGTATCCGACCAAGGGCCTCAGCGTGGTACCTTTGCCCTGACAGTTGACTTGGACTGTTGATTTTCCCATGGGCAGTGTGTGGTCACACTGCCTGGCGCAGGCCGAGTTTGGCCTGCGCCGTCTGGGCTCCGTTTCGAGGGCCCAGACTGCTGCAGAACACGGGTTACTGCATTCCTGCCGACCTATTTTCGAGTTCCATCGCAGAAATAATTAAGACTTCAACCCAAGTTCATATGCAGATACAATATCAGGAGCAGTTTCAACTTTCAAGTAATTCTCGTTTACTGAACCATCTATCCTCAGATGGTGCCTGAGATTTGAAACGTACCTTTAACTGCTTCTGAGGTCGTTCACGTCCACCTGTAGAAAAACACCGATGTTCTATGATTCTGTCTACCTCATATCCATCGTCCATATCAGGCGGAATCATAGAAGGCCTGTGTGGGAACTCATTTCCTTCTACATACGGTAACAATTTGGACGCGTGAAAGACAGGATATGTTTTGAGGTGAGGGGGGATATCAATTCGATAAGACGGTCCCTCTGCATCCCCAATTACTCCGAGAACTTTCCAGGGTCCAAAATAGATAGGCAGAAGTTTTTGAGACATATTTTCTTCCAACGAAAACTCTTTGGACTTGACCCAGACTAGATCACCTTCCTTGAATGTTGAGGGTCAGCGATGCTTGTTAGCTTGTTCAATCATTTGGTCATGAGCTTTCTTCAGATTGTCCTTTACTTTCTGAATGTCTTCTTGAAACAATACTGCATACTCTTGGGTCCCTGGAGGTAACCTAAGGAACTGGTCCCGTGTTAGTACGTCAATGGGACATTTAGGTTTCCACCCCTTGTGTAGTGCATTAGGCGTACGCTCGGTAGTGGTATGGACACTACTGTTGTATGCACTTGCTATCTTGGGTAAGTTATCTTCCCAATCAATTTGATCGGGTCTCACATACATGCGCAAAGCCTGCTGGCACAAACGGTTCATCTACTCACTTTGTCCATTCGTTTCAGGGTGTCGCTCTGACGACATGGTGAGTCGTGTACCATATGCCTCCATGAGCTTTTGCCAAGGCATCCTTGTGAACATGGCATCACGATCAGATACAATGGAGAGGGGAAATCCGTATTCAGTCACCCATCGCATCTGAAATTTTTGGATCACAAGTTATGTCCGTGCCTGTACGGGTAAGGGAATGAACATGGCATACTTAGAGAAATGATCCACAATAACCATTACTTGACTATAATTGTCATTACGGCTCTTGGTAAGACTCATAAAATCAATCGAAATGAACTCACTTGGTTCACTTGAAATCGGTAATGGTTTCAAAAGACCGAGTGGATTCTCATCATCTCATGTGAAAGTTTGTTTCTCTGTCATACCAGACATGTACGAACATAAGTTAGTACGTCTTCTTTCAGTCTCTTCCACTCAAAGCGTTCTCCAACCTCTGCGTAAGTTTTCTTGAACCCAAAATGTAATTCAAAGTCCTGACATTCCCCAATTATCAGACTCTTTATTTCTTCCTGACGAGGAATACACAATCCTTGTTCAGTTTGGTCTATCAAGAAAAGCAAACCATCGGTTATTCTATAGTGGGGAAGTGAAGATGGATCATTCGCAAGGACATCCATGATAGGCTTCCAAATAGGATCAGTAGCATATCCTTTATGAATTTTGTCTTTCACGTCATTCCCAACATCCAAGTAAGAGACAATAGTACCAAAGAAATCACATCGTTTAGATAATGCATCTGCAACAACATTAGACTTACCTTTGATAGTTTCAGTTCAAAATCAAAAGTATCAAGGAAAGCAGCCCATCGTACCAGCTTATCAGAGAGTCTAGGCCGCTATGTTTTTATCCACTTCAAGGTAGAGTGGTCCGAGTACACAGTGAAGTGTCTCCCTAACAAGTAGTGTTTCCAGGTGTTCAGTGCGCAGACTAGTGCATACAGTTCTCTTTCATAGGTGGAGTTGGCAACCTTGTCCGATGACAATTGTGCAAACATGAACTCATTGGGTCTATAACCATTGTCGTCGTTCTGTTGAAGGATTGCGCCAATTCTGTACTGACTTGCATCAGTCGTAACGATGAAGGGAAGAGACGGATCAACAATTTAAAAAACAGGATAGTGAGTCAAAGCATACTTTACATTCTTAAAGGAAGACTAAACAGTCTTTGTCCCACAACCAAATAGTTCCTTTCTTCAATAATCTTCTTATTGGTGCGACGATCAGCAAAAAGTTCCTGACGAACTTTCTGTCGTAACTTGTCAAACCAAGGAAAGATCGTAATTCAGTTACAGACATGGGTCTACTACCTCATCCATGGAATATAATAGAGCAAATGATGGTATTGCAATGAACATTAGTATAATACTAGGAAAAATAGTCCAAATGATTTCTATAGCGGTTTCATGAACAATTCTCTCTGGAATTAGGTTTTTCTTATAATTGTTGATATCTTCTTTTCTTCGGGCTTTAGACCCTCTTCGTTTACTATATGTCTGAGATATAAGATTTCCGACTTAGCGAACTCAGACTTCTTTGGGTTTAGTTTAAAGTTTCCCTCCCGCAACTTTCCTAATACCAGACGTAAGTGTTTTTTGTGATTTTCTAGTGTGCACTGCAATGTCATCGAGATAGACAATGACGAATTGATCCAACCATTGACGAAACAGTTCATTCATAGATCTTTGAAAAGTCGCTCGGGCGTTAGTCAGTCCGAAAGGCATAACCATGAACTCGTAGTGACCATACCTGGCTCGGAACGCAGTCTTGTGTTGATCCGCGAGGTCCACCTCGATCTGATGGTACCCAGACTTCATATCAATCTTACTGAAAAACTTACAACCCTGCAGTTGGTCCAACAAGTCGTCAATACGTGGAAGAGGTTCGACATTCTTAACAGTGACGATATTCAACCCTCTGTAGTCAATACAAAGACGCAACTCACCTTCCTTTTTTGGCACAAAGAGAACAGGGGCACCATAAGGAGAGGAGCTAGGGCGAATCCATCCTTTCTCTGTTAAGTCCTGCAACTGCTTCTTGAGTTTCTCAAGTTCCCTAGAAGACATTCGGTAGATAGGACCCTTGAAAATCTTACTACCAGGAATGATTTCAATTGTATGCTTGAGAGCACGTTTAGTTATTCCTGCTG